ATCTTCCTATTCCCCAACGGTACCGCAGCCCCCTCCTCCGGTTGGTGGCAGCTCGCGGTTGTCATGGCAACGGGGAGATGGGATGGGATGGGATGTGCAGAGCAGCTGGGCTCCATTCCTGCTCGCCTGCCCTCGTGGCACAATGGCCCTGCGCAGGAGGCAGCGCTTTGTCCTGGTGGGCCTTTGTTGTGCATTGCGTCTTGAGTCATCTGCAATGGTTCTCTGTAATCTGCTGGATTTCAGGCCTTTGTACAGTCTCTCCTTAGCACTGTGTGCTTTGCTTTCAGTAACTGCTGTTTTCCAGTCACTTCTGTTTATTTCTGGAATTTTACATGAGCTTCAGAAGTGTGCCAAATGAAAGGTACAGTTTGCAAGAAGTGAACCTCAAGTTCATAGAATCACAGAATGGCCAGGGTTGGAAGAGACCTCAAGGATCACAAATCTCCAACCCCCTGCCACATGCAGGACCACCAACCCCCCTTGTCCTGCAGTTATCAACCCTTTCAAAGAGTTGATTCCCCTCCCCTCTGTAGGCTCCCTTTAGGTACTGCAGGCTGCACTGAGGTCACCCTGCAGCCTTCTTTTGTCCAGGCTGAACAAGCCCAGCTCCCTCAGCCTGTCTTCACAGGGGAGGTGCTGCAGCCCCTGATCATCTTTGTGGCTCCTCTGGACCCTCTCCAACAGCTCTCTGTCTTTCTTGTCTGCATCTCCTCTCTGCCTGCTGCAGGCACTGTGCTTGCTGAGGTCACAGTAGTTCTTTCTTGCTAACCATAAAGTGCTCCATCAGTTTTCTCTCTCGAGCTATTACTGGAGCCACTGCAGAAAGGCAGATGAGAATCCTGAGCTTTTGGGGAATTGTTCCATCAAGCTTGAAGATGCTGAAAGCTGCTTAGATCTAGTCGATCCCAATAATTCCTCATCTGGACTGATAGAAGCAGGATTCTTGGCAAGGATATAGCAGAGGCAATGCTTCATTCTGTGCTTGCTGTCACAAAAGCAATCCGTCTGGCTCTCAGATTTATGGCTTGGGTCCATGTGATGAAAGGTTCAGTGTCATTGTGTGCTCTGATTCAGAAAGGCAGCAGTGTGGGCATCAGCCTTCCTGCAGGTAAAGTGGAGCATTGCCTGTGAAGCCAGAGGGATGCAGAACCAATTCCCAGCAGTGAGCACACGCACCTCTGCTGCTCACGGCAGTCACTTAGCAGGTGCAGCCTGCCGTGCTAGCCTTAGTCATAGCCAGCAGGGAGACTTCCCTGCCTTGCATTGAAATCGTGGCTTAATTTGGGCTCATTTCTTTGTTTAAATGCAAAACTAGTTGTATTTAACCACAGATGAATGTGAAGTTACATTAACAGTTTTTCAAATCAAAGGGGAGTTATTCAGAGTTATTTGGGAGCTGGGGGACTTTGTAACCAGATAAGAGATATGGGGGAGGGCAGACCTATAAAAAGTGCTATTGTGCGATTATGAAGAGCCTTTTTAATGCAGTTATTATGCAATGCTAAAAAGGCCCTTATTGCTGGAAGTTCGAAGTGGAATACAAATGGGCTTACGGTGTCTGTTAAATGAAGAGTGGGGAAAAACAGTCTCTGTTCCTCTGAACTGCAGAGCAAAAATAATAATTAGTGATTACGATCCATGTCGGTGCTGAGTTTATTAGCCTGATCATATACTAAGCAACAAAGTAGCAGGTAGGGAACAATTGTTGGTGTAATTTAAGGCATAGTTCGTTGTTAGGATGAACTCATTTATCCAGGTTATGAGGTCAACAAATTGCTTCAACCTGCCTTTATCAGTAGAACAATTAGAGTTGAATTCTCCCTGGTGCAAAATAAAGGCTGTAGATGAGCTGAATGTGAATAATTCAGAGGAACGTTCTGCTCAGGTAATGCCTGATTTCCAGAAGATTTTTCAGTCTCCCTGACTCGAGGGCTCCTGGATGCACTCCGCTGGGTTCCTGTGTGCTTAGTGGTGTTACTGGAGGTCTGCAGGGCAAGGGAGCTGCGTGGAGTGTCCCTGCAGGGCAGGAGGAATCAGGAAACAGCTCTCTGCTGAGTAATTCACCCTCTGTACAGGAGGGACTGAATCAGCAGAGCAAAAGGGTCAGCCCAGCAGTGCTGCTGTTTGCCCTGTTTTCCAGCCTGCTTAGTACTGGGGCACTGCCTGCCACTGGCTTTGTAGTCGCGTTGTCACTGTTTAATAGCAGCCATCGATGAGACACTGACATGTTTAGAAGAGAAATCAGTGCTTCTGACAGCAGCAGTTTGCTCAGTGACACCAGTGTTATGCAGCCTTCCTGGGGAAAGGTAGATCAAGTGCGAGGGGCAGGGATTCACGTGTCAGCACTTCCTCTCTTACCATGAGCATTTGGGGGTTGGCCTTTTCTGCTGGTTTTAAAGCCTGCCCTGTGAAAGGAGTAAATGTATGCTAGAGAGGAGATGAAAGCAGGGAGGGCATCCTAAAATAGACACAGTTCATCAAGTAGTGTGAGCCTGTCCCAGAAGGAGAGACACAGCTGGTGGAATGTCAGCTGCCTCACTGCTCCCCTGTTCAGATGCTTCACCAGAAAATCCTGCATCTTTTCTTGTTTGTTTATCGGGAGTCCTTTGCTCTGTGTGCAGCTCTGCACTTGCTGTCCCAATCCCCTGATTCATGCTTGTTTCCTGAGCACTGCAAGGAGCTTTGCCCCTGGTTCTGGAGCAGAGTGTGTTCTTTGAAAAGCCAGGTGTGTTTGGCAGCTAGAGGAATGCCTCTGTGGCCTGGTGGGGGAAACAGCCGGCACAACAGACAAAGCACTTGCAGTGAAGTTGCCAAGATGTGCTCTGGCTGCATGGGAGAGAGGAATAGCTCAATTAATGGCTGCAGTCTAGAAATAAAAACTACTCGTTCAGGCCTCCTGAAATTCACACTTGAGCTGGACTTGTTAGGCCACAGCAATGCTGCAGCGTCGGGACCTGGCGGAAGGAAATCCAGAAATTGATTACATTTTCTGTCGAATGTATGATTGTATATGAACAGGAAAATGGGGAGCTACCATAGAACCACAGAACGGCTCAGGTTGGAGGGCAGCTCAAAGCCCACCCAGTGCCACCCCCGGCCATGGGCAGGGCTGCCCCCCCACCAGCTCAGGCTGCCCAGGGCCCCATCCCACCTGGCCTGGAGTGCCTGCAGGGATGGGGCACCCACAGCTCTCTGCTTTCCTTTTTCATTTGCTTAGCACTAGTATAATTCAAACCAGAGAAGAAACAGTCACGCAGGATACTCAGCACAGGCCAGAAGTTTGGGTAGCTTTCATCTTGGCTTTTTAACTTACTTGGAAGTGATTGTCGATTTCCTATCCTCAATGTATTTGAGCAGGATTGTTTTAATACATGTAGCAACCTTGGTTTTTCTTGTGCTCATGTACAGAATGGTTGAAGTTGGAAGGGAACTTGTGGAGATCATCTGTTCCAACCCTGTGCTAAAGCTGTTCCACCTGAAGCATGTTGTAAGCTGAAAGGATTTAGGGAACAAGAAATGAACAAGAAGTATACCTACAAAAGGAGGCCATTTAGTCCTTGTTGCGGTGAACCTAATAAACCTTTAGCCTTTTATTATATTTGGTTCTTTGTATTTGCAGCTCTGTCTGGGAGTGAATTATACTGAAGTAGTATGGTTGAGAGGAATTAGATTAGCCAGCAATAAAACAGGCTGAATGCAAGAGCTGAAAGGGCAACGTGCGCTTCATTGAAAACAGCAGGGAGAGAGAGACTGCCCTCAGACAAAACATATGAGTTAAATAAAGATGTCCTAAGGGAGATCTCAAAGGCCTAAGAATTATTTTCATTTCTTTCTGGAATTATTATCTAACTTGGATTATTTTTAAGTGATTCTTTAGGGATGGGGCTGCAGTCAGTTGCAGGGAGCATAGAAGTGCAGCATCTTTTACTGAGTCCAGGTTACAAGCAAACAGGTAATAGATGATTCACCCAGAAGTGTTAATCATAGACTCAGCAAGGTTGGAAAACACCTCTGAGATCACCCAGTCCAACTGTCTGCCTATCACCACTATTTCCCCGACTAAACCATGTCCCTCAGTACCAGGTCTAAATGTTTCTTGGGCACTCTAGGGACGGTGACACCATGACCTCCATGGGCAGCCCATTCCAATGCCCAGCCACTCTTTCCTAACATTCAGCCTGAACCTCCCTCGGTGCAACTTGAGGCCATCTTTCCATGCGGGGGAATTATTTCTGCTGCCACAAACAAAAACACAGCCCTAGCCTATAAGTCAAGAGTTGATGATCTCCTGTGAGAAGACAGCAGAAGAGACCAAAATATTGCTACTGCTTTTCAGTAGGACAAAGTAAGGGGAAGTGTGCCTGGATTAAGTTGGAAGCAAGCCTCAGCCACTCCTGTAAAGGCAGAAAGGACCAGTTGTCAGTGGTTGTTGTCAGTGTTTTGGAGATTTCTTTCTTAATGCAGGCATGCTCTGGCTGCTGTAGATATCCATCTGGGGTTCATTGGCTGTTTGGACTTGGGATTCTGCCTGGAAAATGCTGCAGAGAACCCAGAGTATGCCAGTGACTCCCAGCCATGACTGATGGTTGGGCTTGTAAGAATGTGGTATCAGAGCAAGAAGTCAACTCCAGAGCAAAGAGGATGGCTGTACAGTGCTGCCAGAACAGGTTTGTGAGCCAGTTCCAGTCAGTGTTCAGGGGTGTGCTTAAAGGCTGTGTGCCATCACTGCTCCCAGTGTTGTACTGTGGGCAGGGATTTGAAGGGAAATCGGCGCTTTCTGTATCGTTTGATGTGGCTTTATGTTGAGCTGGAAGTGACTCTGAATGTTTGCAGGTTTCCCAGGGGTCTGTGGCACTATCTGCTCAGATACATACTGATAAAGTGCCAAATGTGCTCCACCCAATGCTCTTCTGTCAGATGGGTTGGAATCCTGGCCAAGCTTCTTTGCTGAAGACAGCTGCTGTTGTCTAAACCCCTTCTGTGTGCTCCTTTCTTTGCAGCCTCTCTACAAGTGGATATTGTTCCCAGTCAGGGAGAGATCAGCGTTGGAGAATCCAAGTTCTTCTTATGTCAAGGTGAGTGCTGGCTTTTGGCATGGGGTGTCTGCACGTCTGGGTTTGCTGGGAAGGCCGATCTGCATGTTAGGTCTGAGATAAAAGCTCTGCTGCTTAGTCAGGCTGTAAGGTTTCTTGCGTTCTTTCTCATATGCCCTCAGATTTGGTAAGACTGAAGTATAAAAGGCAACGTGTGGTGTTTGCTGGGAAGACTAAAAACACTCCCTTGAGAGCTGGCAGCAGAAAGCAGCTCCAGGAAGCAGCTTTTAAAATGCAAAAAGAAACAAAACAGCAAATGAAGTGTTGCCTCTGTGCTGGAGCAATAGCCACAACAATTTGCATCGTTCCACAGCTCTTTGGTCTTTTGAGTTTAGAATTAAGCTTGATTTTTGGTTGTTAATTTTTTTCCAAATTATATGTCTAGCCCATTGCTAAGAGCAGCGATGGGAGCACCAGGTCACTTGAGAGTCACCACCGCAGCACCTAAGGATTTTAATGAAAATCTCCTTTTTCTGTGACAAAAGTTAGTGTTTGTGCAGCTCCCTTACTGCACCGTGTGCTGCAGTGCTGGCACATTCCCTGTGCCCCAAAGTGCTTTTTTCAATTTGATGATGTTTTTCAAATCAGTACTTGTCCTGTTCAAAGCAGCTGGCCTGGTTTCTGATGGGAGGAGCTGCTGTGTTGGCACCCCAACGTGATAGCATCCTGGGGCATGACATATAGCTAACAGGTGATCAGTGAGCTCTGGGAGCAAAATGCCATCAGTTCCTCAAGAGCATACCAACAGGAGCAACAGTGAGGTTGTCTGATCCAGGGATGCTTCACTGCAAGGTAATTAGTTGATGCCAGAGCTTCAAAAGCAAAAGCATACTCTGAATAAGTGCTGTTGTGATGATGCATACCTTCAGAAAAGTCTGAGATCAGTTAAAGCCCCTGCAGTAATAGGAACCTGTCCCAAATAATGGAGCCATGTGGGGGAATGTAGAGGGATGAGCTTCAAGAGAGGGGCAGCCTGCAACCAATTAGTGACAATAATTGCTTACACTGAATGCAGTAGAAGGTTTAACCTGATGAGCACCAGAGCTGCTGCTACCGCAAATCACAATTTTGATACATAAAGCAGCAAAAACACCTATCTACCAAAAATATGGCAGAACTGGAGCAGGAAGACATGGTTTGATTTTGCTCTCAAGCTGCCCAACGTGGGGCTGACACAGTGGAGGAGCTGGGACATAAAATTCCAGGATGCATGGAAGGCCATTCTGAAATGAAATGAAACGAAATTGTTCCCCTTTAGATTTCAAGAAACAGCCAAATGTAACTTTTGCACAATAGCAGCTGACCATTCACAGCACTGTGAGAGAATTTTCTCTGTTTGCTTCTCAGGTACCAGAAGCTCTTCTTCCCTTGGGTCGGTTTTTCCACAAAGTGCTGGTTGTATTCCGTATACTGTATACTGTATTCTGTGTACTGGTTGTATTCAATTCCCTACTGGTTGTATTTAGTTTCCTTTGTGCTTGTTAGTTGGGAACTCACTTCATCTGCTTTGTTTTCTTTTATTCTCTGCAGTGGCAGGGGAAGCCAAATACAAAGACATTTCCTGGTTTTCCCCTAATGGTGAGAAGCTGACGCCCAACCAGCAGCACATCTCAGTGGTGCGAAACGACGACTTCTCCTCCACCCTCACCATCTACAATGCCAACATTGATGATGCTGGCATCTATAAATGTGTTGTCAGCAGCGTGGAGGAGGGAGACTCTGAAGCCACCGTCAATGTGAAAATTTTCCGTAAGAGAACAACTCGAGGGCTACTTTCTGGGTATCCCTGGACGTATATGAGGCAAGATTAGGCAGGGGGAGACACCTTACCTTCCTACCAAAGGCTGTTATTGCTGAAGGGGAGAAATGAGGTTCAAAAGGGAGCGTTAAGAAGATTCTCCTCCTTTCTTGGTTTTGAGGAGGATGTGAATGTTGAGACCTTTGCTTGTCAGGTGTTTACCAGCTTGTCTATTGCTTAAATTCTTCTGAAGGATAAGAGAGCAAAAGGCAGAAGGAGAAGATTCTAGTGCATCACAAATGTGTAGGAGGAGGAAGCGTAGATGGCAGCTTCCGTGGGTGACAAACACACTGTGAGAGCTGGGCTGTTGCTTCCAAGTTAAATGGGGTTCTGATGTTGCAGTGCAGTGTGTTGAGTCAAGTGCAGCTGTATCCTCCTCTCTGGGGCATGCAGGTTTCCACAGAACAAGCCCTCTGGGGTTTCATTGCTTTTTTTCAAGCTGGATTTGGGTTGAGTTGGGAACACAGCTTGATGTGTGCTGAAAAAGCTGCAGCAACTTATTCCTTCCATTGCTTTCAGAAAAGCTCATGTTCAAGAATGCCCCCACTCCTCAGGAATTCAAGGAAGGGGATGATGCTGTGATTGTGTGTGATGTGGTCAGCTCACTGCCTCCTACCATCATCTGGAAACACAAAGGCAGGGATGTCATCCTGAAAAAAGATGGTAAGATGCAAGATGTACTGGTGCTTGTCCATTTAGGGGTCAAATATCCATCTCCCAGTAGGCTCATGCTGTCTTGTTCTCCTGTACCCCTTGTACAGTCACAAGGAAGAAAGGGAAGCCATATGGATGTTACCCAAGGGCTTAGGATGTGAACATCGTTGTTCCAGGTGCTTTGATTTGGGAATGGTAGGAATATAATGTTCCCACGGAGATGACCATCAGGCTTTGATGCTGCAATAAAAATGCTAGAAGCATTTTTTGGATTTAAAAAACAAAAACAAAACCATCAGAACAGAAAAGCTGTATGTTGTGATGCTCTGCTTTACAGTATTTCTAAGGAAACTGCTGAGAGCTCCTAGCAAGTGTTTCCCTTTCATTCAGAATGCTACAGACCTTCTTTCCCAGAGTGGCATTTCACTGGCAGTGAGGAGTCCAGTACCTGCCTGCAGCTGAGCACTGGTACCTCAGCTCTCTTTCCAACATCAGCTTCTTACAGGCACAAGGGAACTGTAGTAAGACTCAAACTCTTCCCTCACTCAGCAAGAGGGGCAAGGTTTAACATGATTCTTGTTTGATATTAATTGAATGCAATGTTTGTGTATCTTTATTTATCACTGTACTTTGAGTATAAAACACAGAGCGGTTTGTCTGCTCCCTCTGTCTCATTTCTTTGTTGGTAATGTCAGATCTGATTGCAGCATCTCCATTTTAACATGATGCGAAAGGAAGTTTCATTGCATTCAGCCTTCCCTCCAACTCAGGAAGGTTGAGGGGAGGTGAAGAACCTGTTCCGTGCAGTGAGCTTTCCCAGGGATCTTTGGATGAACCTTCCTTTTCTCTCTTCCAGTTCGGTTTATAGTGCTGTCCAACAACTACCTGCAGATCCGGGGAATCAAGAAAACAGATGAGGGGACGTACCGCTGTGAGGGCCGCATCCTGGCTCGTGGGGAGATCAACTTCAAAGACATTCAGGTCATTGTAAATGGTGAGTGGCACAGAGTTGAGAGCAATAAGTGACAAAGGGCTGCACCGTCTGCGCTCCAGACTGCCGGTGGAAATGTTATCCACATTCACACACACAGGTTACTGTCTATCAGCTTACTAATCTTTCTCTGCTGTGTCAAATAAAAGCATCCATGGTTACCAAATGTGTACTGGAAATGATCAAATCCAGAGTAAGTTTAAGTGCCTAACAACTTCGTGAGGTGTTGAGGCTTACAAGTGGTTTTGTCGACAGCACAGATTTTCTGTGCATCTCTCCATCCTCACACCAGTTGCTTTGGAGAGCTCATACATCAAACCTGACAGTTGAAACCTGCATGTGGCAGCTGAAAGGGTTTGAATCGCTAGTGACATCTGTCTATATTGCTGAGATTTAGTTAGACTTCCAGGCCTCATTCTTGCTCACATCTTCTGTCTCCCCTTTCTAACTTCAGTGTGGTTTCCTTCTCTTCTAGTACCTCCTTCTGTGCGTGCCAGGCAGAGCACTATGAACGCCACTGCCAACCTCAGCCAGTCTGTCACCTTAGCATGTGATGCTGATGGCTTTCCTGAGCCAACCATGACGTGGACAAAGTAAGATGTTGTATGCAGTGTCCTGATTCTTTGTGAGCATGGATGTTTTCAATAAGACCCTGGAAAACCAGGCAGGAGGGGAAACCTTTTAACCGCAATGACATGAATCCATTTTTCTCCCAAGAGAAGGAATGACCTCCTAGCAGGGAATTGCAGTTAGTTTTGGTTGTGAGTTAATGTTGATAGGCAGCGAAGCACCACACAGCAGCTCTTCCTTCCCACTGTTGGGAAGAGGTGAAGATACCTCTGACACTGAGTTTCAGTGTAGTAATGCAGTTCTCATTAACATAAAACCTCACAAGCAGCATTTGACTGCTTCTCCTCCCCATCACAGCCAGTGTGCTTTGTGCCCTGCAGGGATGGAGAGCCGATAGAGCAGGAGGACAATGAAGACAAATACAGTTTTAACTACGATGGGTCTGAGCTGATCATCAAGAAGGTGGATAAGAGTGATGAAGCAGAGTACATCTGCATTGCTGAGAACAAGGCTGGCGAGCAGGATGCCACCATTCATCTCAAAGTCTTTGGTGAGCTTTTGCCTGTTCAGAAACCCTCTTTTCCCCTCATGTTGCTTGTTTCAGATGTTGCTGTTTACAGGCGGGTTTCATTCTGAGCAGCAACTGAATGAAGGTTGTTTTTATTTTTCTTTCCAGCAAAACCCAAAATCACGTACGTGGAGAATAAAACAGCGATGGAGCTGGAGGACCAGATCACATTGACCTGTGAGGCATCTGGGGACCCAATCCCTTCCATCACGTGGAAAACCTCCACCCGGAACATCAGCAACGAAGAGAAGGTACCACCACTCCCAAGACTCTTTTGGGCAGGGGTCAGTGCTGCATGATGGCAGCAGGCACATGGAGATCATGGTGCTTCCCCCCTCCGTAGTGAGAATGCTTGCAGTCCTGCACAGAGTAACAGCTGGAGGCCAGCTCTGTAGCTGAAGTAATCCCATGGTTGTCCTTTATACAAAGAGCAATCACAGTTTGTAACAACTGAGACTATGCTGTTTAATTCCTGCTTGTATTGGTCTGAGCTGAATTGATTTACAAAGCACGAAGCCCTGGACCCTTCTTGGAGGAGTTTTGTGGTGGACATAGAGATACAGGACTTCTGAAGGGGTTTCCAAGCTGAGACATGGGAATGAGCACCCTGATTCCAGTGCTGTCCATGCTGTCATCATGAAGATGATTTCACTGGGGAGGGTGGCAGGTGAAAAGGTGTGGGATATTCTTTCAAAAATGCAGTGGACCAAAATGAACCTGTTAATTCATTCTTGCTCTTCTTTATTGTGCTAACCCTACACGTACTTGAAGCACAAAAGCCTGGCTGCCTTTATGTTCACTTGTTTTGTGGATCACATCAAAACCATTTTGTTCTTAAAAGGCAAAAATAATTAGCAGTTTTTCTCTTTTAGAAGGGTGCCGTTTCATTTGTTTTGTTATTGCTGGCCATAATTCCCTTTTACCAGAGAAGATTAGAATGCACTTTGTTACTCTGGATATTACATAATAGTTATGTAAGAAGTTGACTAGGAGGCATAGTAGAGCTGAAGAAAGCTTAGACACGAGTTAGAGTAGGGAGTTGCTGCTTATTAACAGTCTTATAATGACAGGATGCTTCAAGGCTCAGCTCACATGGGAATATCAGGGGGTCTGACTTGGTATGAAGGTAGCAGCTGATAGCCTGGAAGTCTCAGAGGCAACGGCTGTCAGTCATTTAGAGGTAACCCCTCTTAGTCATCCACATTCTGCTCCACTGCCTCCTAAACGAGCTCTATGTATTGCCCCCGTGATGTCAGCTCTTCACTGTGTTAACGTGGAACTTTTTCAATCAGGGTGCCCTCTGCAGAGAAATGTTAGTATCTTCTGTATTCAGGAGTTTGTGTAGATTAGGGAGCATTTCAGGAGAGATTCCCGTTGCCTTTGAAAGCCCTCGGCTTGGTCTCTTAGCAAAGCATGACTGGGAGACCTGTTTCAATAAGACAAGGCTATTTGTGGTCTTTTCTCAGTCTAGAAGGGTGATGGGAGGAGTTAAATGCCTCCTTTGCTTCCAGCACTGGGGTTTGGATCACAGCCAGGGAGAAGAGCTTTGTCAGGGAGAAGAATATGAGACCTGAAATAAGGCTCAATGGAGTAGAAGTCTGTAGGAGCGCCTGTTTGCAGGGAGTCCTGTCTGCCAAGCCTCATTAAGCTAACAAGACCTCAGTGGCAAAACTGCTAACCATTTTTGAGACTCATATATTGTATATCCTTTTTAATGCAGTTAAATCAGTGATCAGTGTTAAAGAATGACGTTACGTGTTCTGGTAATATCTTAGTGGATGGGGAGAAAATCAAAGGTTTGAGGTACCACCGTGTTGTTCATGTATGGATTCAAACCTTTAGGGCAAAGATTTGCTGTCATACAACATTCATTTTCTAGGCAGGATTTTCTTCCCTCTCTCTCTTTTTTTTTTTTTTTGTTATTGCTGTTTTCTTCTTTAATTTAAACTTTTTCCCATTCTGTGGGTAAATGGTACAGACTTCCAGAAAATTCTCAGGACAAAATAGCTCTGTTGGACATTCCATGCTGTGTACAGCCTTTGTGATGCTCTTTGGTTGTGAATGTAGAAATGCATTATTTAGGAGAAGCTTTATCCCTGTCTGAAATTCTTGTTTATCCCTACTGCAAAAGATAGCAAGAGCTATAAGCCATAGGAGGTCATTAACATAAAGTCAAGCCATTTAAAGTCATTTTATCTTTCCTCAACTAATTTTGCTGTGCCGTTGTGGGGAGGAAGAATGTGGGTTTTTTTTTGTTACCAGATGTAATGCTGAGTAAGCCAGTATGCCAGATTCCTCATCACCTCCACTATATTTCCTCCCCTTGTAAAAGAGGTGTCCGTGAGCATAGTTTGGATAGTTTGGTACGTTGGTGTTCCTAAGTTCTAAGATTTCCGTGGCAGCAGCTGTACCTGTGGGGTGAGCCTCCCTGGCCTGCCGTGCCAGCTGTCAGTACCTGCATCACATTACTGTTTTCACAGTAGCAACTCGTCCTTCCCAAATGGAAGGGAAGATGTGTGAGTTTCTTGATTCTCCTCTAGGGAACCCACATTGTACAGATTGGAGCTTGTATGTCTCTTGGCCTTGGTGAGGAAGGGTTAAGATAAAAACTCTTCGGGATGGAGGCTCCGGTTCTGCCTTCTCCCCACACCCACCAGCCCCAGTACAAAGAAGCAGCAAACTGGGGGAATGTGGGAACTGGCTTCTTCCCTCCTTCATCTTCCTGGAGCCTGACACGTGCTGCACACCACAGGGAAACGGCACGTCTGTTCTTTTTACACCTCTGTGCTGGTGCTATAGAACTGCACTGGAGAGAATTGAGAGGAGACTTGCGTGGACATCAGTGAGGTCCTGACTGGTTCTGGTAGTGACTGGTACATGAAAAGGGAATGATGCTGAATCCTGATGATGATTGCCTGTTCGGTTTTCAAGGAACTTGTGCACAAGAGGATATAGATACATAGAAGTTATGAGATATGGAGTTTCTGGGCAGATCCCCAGCCCACATGTGTGTTGGTGAGCTTTGTTTTTTCCATTGGAGAGTCCACCTCAGGCCTCTAATCAGAAGTGAATAGCCTGCTTTTGCCAAAGACTTCATAGAACTGTCTGTACCATTTGTTAATACTGAAGTCTCATAGTTTTCACTGCAAGCACTGTGGAAACAATACTGTGCTTTTTCTCCTCATTTCCTTAACTTTCATCTCCATGTCTGTAACATCACTCTTGTGTATGCCGTTTTATCCACATGCCAGCAGTGCTTGTGCCTCACATTCAAAAGTGCTGTTGTGACTGTGATATTAGCAGGTGATTTTTGACTCCTGAATTGAAATGGATCAAGTTGTGATTGAAATAGACACTAGAAGAGAAAAAAAAACACGTTTGAAATTCATAGGGAAAAAGGGAACTCTGTGACTTTGGTCGTTGTGAACCAGAGTAAATATGGTCCACAGTGTTGCTGTCTGTCTCTGAATGGCAGTGTATGTTTCTTGGTAGGGTTTGTGCATGTTTGACTGATGCCTGTTTGCTTAATTGTCCCAAGCCCAGCAAGGACTGGGTGCACGTAGCCCTAAGCCTGGTGAGCTGGGTGTGATGAACTGGAGGTGGGGCTCAGACTGTTGCTCTGCAGCTCGAGGGCTCCCACTCCTCACACAGTGTGCATGTAAACCCATACAAATGCATGAGCACATGAACCCACAGGGGTTAATGGCAGTCGGTGTGTCCAGGTGGCAACCAGCTCAATAGCTTATCTTTCAATTAAGTGACCCTGGTTATCAGGATTATTTCCCTTGGATACGTAGCTGTGTTTCCAGAAGGGATGAGATGTGACAAGGGAAATAGTCACTCAGTATTTAAGAATAGAGGCAGACAAAGGGTTTAGGTATTGTTAGATCAATTTTGAGGATATTGAATTTTGAATGCAAGTCTAAATGCAGGTTCTGTTGGGAAATGGAAATTGCAGTCACCCCACACACAAGATACACAGCTCGGAGCCTGCATGCGCACAGACGTAGCGTGGTGCTGATACCTGAAAGCAACCTTTGATAAACTTGTATTGCTTTTTTTTCTCCTGTTGTTGTGTTCTATATCTGTTCTCTCCAGGCTTCGTGGACCCGGCCCGAGAAACAAGAGGTATAATCTTATACCAGACCTTTAGCAAACTTCCTAGTTGTTTTTATTTTTGTTTGTTTTTTAAGCATTACAGATTAACAAATCTCTAGTCCAGCAACCACGCCAACTAAACCAGCATTAATAATACAAATAAATTAAGTACCGGTACTGAAGAGAAACAGCTAATAGTGTTAGAAGTTGCTTGGCACGTAGTTCTGCATCTCTGGATGAGCAAACTGGCTGTGTTGGGAGTGAGTAATCCTGGTTGTCACTTCAAAAAAGGACAAAAAGTGCCGGGGGAGGGAGAAGAAAGGGAAGGCAAATCTGCAGCCTGACAAATACAGCTTCGCCATTTCCTTCAGTCTGCAAGTGTGGGTCATGCTTCTGTTCTGGAGTTTTAAGAGTTCGCAGCTGTGTGTACTGTGGGATGGTACCTTTTTTCTGAGATAGCCTCTTCTGCTCCAGCCAACTCATCTGTTTGCTCATGGCACCTCTTCAGTTTGGCCTTCTGTTAGAGGATAACTGCATCGTATTCTGTTTCAAAATCAATGCAATTAAATCTCTCCAAAGTTATATTTTTTCCAGAAAATGCTCCCACTTACTGAATCATTGCCACTTGCCTTTAATTTTCAAGGGTCAGTGAAGGGGAACAGGAAAATACAGTATGGTGTGTTGCTGTTTTGTTTCACATTCATTACTGTGTTGTAGAAATAATAATCATCTGCCATTAAGTGCACCTCATTGCTTTCACTCATAAAAACACTGGATGCTTAAAAACTCAGTTAAAAGCAAAATTGTACCTCAGTTACATCCCTGATCGGCGATGCCTTCCTGCTAACCGGGTATTAGCTCAGCTTTGCAAATATGAGGAGCTGCAGATGAGTTAGTGAAATGCAAGCGCAGAGCTGGGAGAGGACACCTCACTTTCTGTCCCTGGAGTTTGTGGCTGTGGTCAGGATTTCCAGGGGCTGTTCTGTAATGACCTCTCCTGTATGGAAAGTGGGCAAGCAAGGCTGTTAGATTGGCATGGATGCTTTGGCTTGTGAAAGGATTGAAAAATCCTACAGAGGGGAAGGAGGAAGGTGCATTCCTTGCCTTTCTCATCTGTTCCCCCTTGTCACTGAAGTATTAACGTCTACTCCAGTTGCTGATGCAGTGGCTGTGGAATTTGAAGGAAAACACCTTTGTGCACCTCAGCACAACCTGTAGCACTCAGCAATGAGGAACACTGTCACACACTTCTCTGGAGAGAAGAGTGGTACCTGCAGTCATAGAACTGTAGAATGGCTTAGGTTGGAGGGGACCTTAAGGACCAGCACCCAACTCCCTGCCTTGGGCAGGGCTCCCCCAGCAGCTCAGGGTGCCCAGGGCCCCAGTGTCTCGTAGGTTGTCCCACCACTATGGGAAACATTGCTATGCAAAATTGTCTAAGTCAGGGCAGTTGGGTGAAGGGATTACAGGTGCCCACAGCTCTGGCTCACAGGTTTCTACCTACCCCATGTCTCTAATAGCCAGGGATTGCCGGTATCTGATGGTCTGAAATAGAAATGAAGAGAAGCAGTAGCATGATTTCTTGCGTGGAGATTATTCTCCTTGAATATTTTTCCCTAATCTTCCTTTTCCTTTACACATGCCTTTTGTACTAAGATATACAGCCACATCTTCAGGATCGGCTATATTTCTGGTTAAGTTATTCATTTATCTGAACTGCCTGGCGCTGTTCTGTTTGTATTGAATCCTGGAGAGGCAGGTGGCACGGCATAAAGTCATCTTTGCTGCAGCGATCGTGGGCTGCTGTTTTGCTATAGGTGTAGTTACACTCTTGCCTGATTGAGTCAGAGGCCAACAGAATGGTCACCTGAGTCGGGAGCTAAAAGAAGGCGAGGAAATGGCAGGTCTGAAGTCTTTACGTTCATGGATCCTACTGCAGTAGTTTCGGAAGTGAGCTGGATTTTGGCTGTGTAAGATACACAGTTATGGGACCCTTCACCACTTCTAGGAAATGTGTTCTTGAAATAAATCACAGTTTCCAGCAACACAAGGCACCAAGGACAGAAGAGGGCATAGAATTTGTATCTTGTGGCATTGGCTGTAGTGGACCTGTGTGCGTGGTAGAAGAGATGCACATACTAACTGCTTTTGTGTCGAAAGGTAATAACTTTCTTCATTTGAAATTTGGCTAGCTCAAATGGACTAATGGACTAGTATTCAGAGCCAGCAGAGGTAGCACCTTGTTCTGTGTAGAAGCTTAGTCTCGCAGCTGTAGGCCCCCAGCTCCGAGCAGAGGGATGCTTCAGGCCTGCAGGATCACCTGAGGTATCAGAAACACATTTGGTGCTACAACTCAGTGCCTGTCCGTGTGATTTCCTCAAGCTGTATCCTCATAATCTCAGCACTTGTCTCACATCCTTCCAGAAGCAGCGTGCTCTTGGAGCTCTGATGGTCTGAAGAGTGGCAGCAGGGTGCTCAGTTTGTTGGAAACAGGATGAGAAAGCTTGTCTTTTAAAGCTTCCAAGCTGACCACATTAGCACAAGGATCAGCATGGAGGGTGTTTGGGTTGGATCCCTGAGTGGCTGCAATCCCTTTGAACAGATGACAGCCTGGATTTTACATTCCTTTCCTCTCATTGATGTCCCTGCACTCTCCTGCTTGTGGGAGCAATTTCTGAACTGGCTTCCAATCAACAGAGTTTGCTCTAGAACTTTCTTAGAGCATCACAAGAACTTGAAGCAGGCTGTCTTTAGAAGGGTCCCATAGTTTGCTTGTCCTGCTCTCTGTACCTTGCTCTGTTTGGTGCTGTGCTCAAGTGAAAGCTCTGAGCTTTCATTTTGCCTGATTCAGCTCTGAGGTTTGGATCTGTTCTTACTAATGCCACTTAACGGATGCTGAAATAAAACAGGTATCAGTGAGAGAAGTCTCAAATTCTCTGAGTGAAAATGGTACTAGTTACAGAGGTTTTCTGCAAAAGCATCCTGGCAAAACTGCTTTAACCAGAGCTGGATCTCCGCAGTTGTTAATCTAAGAAGCAGCTTGATGTTATCCAGCTGTCCTCAGTCGTGTAGCAGCATCTGATACTTCAGTCCTTCATTTCTTTTCTTTTTGTTCCCGTTACCTGAGTGCTTTGATATGCTCTGTTCAGTCCTGTGCAACAAGGCTGAGCTGCTTTAGGAAGTGCTGTGCCCGTGGTTTCACCTGCCAGGTGATGGCTTCCAAGTGCTGAGCACTGGAGGGCTGCTGTGAGGTAGATTTGTGTTTGTCCCTGAGCTGCAGCACTGCCCAAAGCCCAACCCCTGACTCTCAATTCCTTTCCTGCCAGACCCTGGATGGGCGCATCGTGGTGCGCAGCCACGCGCGGGTTTCGTCCCTGACTCTCAAAGAAATCCAATACACAGATGCTGGAGAGTACGTGTGCACAGCCAGCAACACCATCGGGCAGGACTCGCAGGCCATGTACCTCGAAGTGCAGTGTAAGTGGGTGAGGGGCAGGGCGTGGGACAGGGGCGGGTGGGCAGGGGGGGGAGGATGCTTTCTGATGAGGTGGAGGCACCTACGAGTAGGGAAATCTGTGTTATTGTTGTTGTTATTATAAGCAGAGGGCATGGGAAGCAGCTCAGTCTGAAATAATGCTGTTAGAGTTGCATTTTGCTGTGTGCACACGTGCAAATGGTTGCACGAGTTGACTCCAACTGAGGCACTGTTTGCATCCTGGGAAGATCATGGGCCGTGAATCTGCCGTGGGCTCATTCATGGAGCGTATCAACGTTGCACTTCCCCAGGCATGTTGCTTGCTGTCTGCTTGTCCTCCCACTCTGCGTGAGGGACAGCCTTTAGTTCTGGGCAGACTTCTTCCTATGTCCTTCAGCAAAAGACCACCACCACCAGCAGCCCCCTGGGAGAGAGGGCTGTCTCCTATCCCCACGTTAGGTTCCTTCTCCCACATCAGCCTGGATCTCAGCCAAGGAGTTCTTGCAGTGAAGTTGGCTGGGCTCCTTCAGGAGTTTTTCTTGGTTATGTTGCCTTCACAAGAATGTTTCTTTCAGATGCTCCCAAGCTTCAGGGCCCTGTGGCCGTCTATACCTGGGAAGGGAATCAAGTGAACATCACCTGTGAGGTATTTGCTTACCCCAGTGCTGTCATCTCCTGGTTCCGGGATGGACAGCTGCTCCCCAGCTCAAACTACAGCAACATCAAGATCTACAACACTCCATCAGCAAGCTACCTGGAGGTGAGGAAAAGCACTAAGGGGAGAAGGGGATGTGCACCAGGAAGGCTCAGTGCTACCAAATAATGTGTTTCTGTTGATGAAGCCCAGTCTTTCATCAGGGTGCCCTGTTAGTGGGCAGCAGGTTGTGGCATTTCTGGCACACAAATGCAAAGGACATCAAGTCATGGCAAACACCACCCCCTCTCCTTGCTTTTGACTTTCTGCTCACTGTAGTTCTCTCATTTGTGTGTCAGCACATGAATTTTATTATTGCTTCATTCCCCAGTAAAACGCAGATGGCATTAGCAGAATGAAAAGTGCCTTCTGATCCAAACATGCACTTCAATTTCTTCTGTAGGTGACACCAGACTCTGAAAATGACTTTGGGAACTACAACTGCACTGCTGTGAACCGCATTGGCCAGGAATCCTCAGAGTTCATTCTTGTGCAGGCGGGTGAGCATCCCAGGCAGGGAGATAAGGAAATGCTACTCTTCAGGTTGTCCTTTTTTCTTAAAGGAAATATTTCATTTTGGAGAAAGCACTTTGAGTCTCTGACCTCTTAGAGAAGACACAAGATTAAGGTTTCTACACTGTCTAATTAGTATTCTTAAAAGCTCTTTGAGGACTGTCACAGGCTGCCCTTGTCCTCTCCTTTATCAAGCCATGACTAGAGTGTTCTTGGTGTTCCTAGTTTTCTGCTTTCTCTGCCAGGTTGGGAGCTGGTAGCCCTTGCTTCCTGCTGTCTGATGTGTCACTGGTTGTTTCCCCTTCCTCCCCCAGATACTCCGTCCTCTCCTTCTATTGACAGAGTTGAGCCCTACTCTAGTACTGCCCGCGTGGAGTTTGATGAGCCTGAAGCTACTGGTGGGGTGCCCATCCTCAAGTACAAAGCAGAGTGGAGAGCACTGGGTGAAGGAGAATGGCACTCGAGATTGTATGATGCAAAAGAAGGTAAGATGGTAAAGCAATATTAAAAAAAAAAAAAGTTACCTTCTCGATCTGCATCTCAAAACATCCCTTCTTTCCTTCGGGGGAAAGCTAGCGTGGAGGATTCTATAGCTTTGCAATTTCAGCAATTTCATTGAGCCCCCACACCAGTTCTTTAACATTTGTTTTTCAGTAACAGCTCAGTAGAAGCAGAGTGATGATTCCCTTTGGTGTCTACTGTGAGCTCCACTACATCCCCTTTGGAAAGGCTGTGGCTCTGTCCCTCCCTAATCAATTCTTTCAAACAGAAATGGTAGCTCTGACCTTTCTCCTTGTCTTCACTGTTTATGCGGCTTTGTTCATGGTTTAAATGTGTCAGGAGTGCAGTAGGAACATGGCATTGATGACTTGACTCAGAGCTTGAGTGTTTCTTTGCTTTTTCTCTCTCGTTTCTGCAACAGCAAATGTGGAGGGCACAATCACTATCAGTGGCCTGAAACCTGAGACAACCTACTCGGTGAGACTGTCTGCAGTCAATGGCAAGGGTGTGGGTGAGATTAGTCTGCCATCCGACTTCAAGACACAGCCAGTTCGTAAGTAACACTGAGAATCTCTCTCTGCTTTTCTGGTTTCTCTCTCCTTGCATTTTCCAAGGACTCTGTCATGCATGGACAATGCCTTCTCCTGCAGACCTTGCTGCACCCTTTGTTTTTGTTGTGTTTTTTGAGTGTAGTGAATTTCCTCGCTAATTAAAAATCTTATTTAAAGGTGAGAGGCAGGGAAGTTATTCACACTGGTCTGTGCCCTGGGTTATAAGGATAAGCTGTATTCTGTCAAATAGAAGGGGCTATGTGATGGAGAGTTGTAATAAGAACAAGCAGCAATTTGAGAAAGGCATGGTAATAAAGAATATGAGGTTCCTTGCAAATCAGAAATCAGTAAGTTCAACAAAGGAGCCTCCATGAGCAATGAAGGAAAAGAAGGAGGGTGATTTCTCTTTTCTGCACATTACTTCTTAAGGATGTCCACGCAATGCATGAAATGATTTCCATAGACTCTTGTCTGCCTTACTTGGGCAATCTTCCCCTCTGATGGCAGGATGCTCTGCTGTGCCATAATACTTTTCTCCCTGTTTCAGCCCCCTGCGGTTCCTAGGGTTCTTCTTCCCCATTCCCTTTGTGTTTAGACCTAGAGCATGTTCTTCTTCCCTCCATCACACCTGTACTTGTGAACCCAGTTCATAGCTCTTCTGTAAACGCTGTGTAGGACTGTCTCCTGAGCTCAGAGCCAGCAGTATTCCTATCCCATACATATCTGCATGCTTGGAGGCCCTGAGATCTGTGCATGGTCTTGAATTCATCTCCCAACTTTTCCCTCAGCAGAACTGAGCAGTGTGTGGCAGTATGCTTTCCTTGTTGCTTAGAAATCCAGGCTCTGTGCAGGAAGCCACAGTACACACCAGCCCTCGTGCTTGAAATCCAGTTCTGTTGCAATAACTCCTACTGCCTCCCCCACTCCCTAGGGTTGGATTTGGGACATCTGGTGGTATTTTGAATTTCCAGCTCCATATTCATTGTCTACTCTTCTCATCTCTTCTACATTTTTTTTTGTGTGTGTGTTTGTGTTTATCTCTGTCTCTTATTTTTGTCTCTGTTCCATCCATGGAAATACTGCAGGTATCCCTCACTCACGTAAGTGCCTCTCTGCATTTGTTTTGTTCTTTTTCTGTTCCTAGAGTTTCTCTAACACACATAGCACTAGCTGTTAATCTAGTGCCTTTTTCCTCCAGGTTCATTAGAAATGAAATAACTGGTACTGCCTGTTTCCTAACAAAACTGACACTAGAATAGTCATCCTATAGGTAATACTAATCTTTTATAGAGCAGAACTGTGGGTTAACATCTATTTTTCTTGTACAGCATGTGATTCAAATAGTTAGAGTACTTGTCTAATTATTAATTAGTGGTTATGTGGGCTGTACTTCAAGCCACGCAGAGTGCTGGGCAGCATCTCCACTGCCCTTATGTGGCTTTGGTTCGATGGGAGAGCTGGTGAATGACAGTGTGCTCAGTGATCCCACATGATGAGGAAATGGCTTTAAAACAAGGATTCAGAGTCCAGCATGCAGGTTTAACAAAGTGCCAAGTCCTGAGTTAGGAGGCAGTGCTTCCATTGCTCGTGCTTTGTGTCCAGAGAGGTTTGATCTGACAGTCTGTTTTGCACTGTAGTTGCCCTCCTTTGGGCAGCATTTAACAGAGTCCCTTCCTCACCTTCCTTTCTTTCTTTAGCAAGTGCTGCTGCCCCCACGTGTTTAGCAGAGAGTGAGTATGGTGGGAGAGTTGTCCTGTTGGATTTGCTCTGCATGCATCTCCTCACTGAGTGTGGTGCAATCTGCCTAACATCCCTGGGTGCTTTCCTTCTTTTCTATGCAGATGTTTTCCCCTGATTAAGAACTGGGTCTCCTGGTAGAGGAACTGCAGATGAGCACAGGTTTGATTTCTAGGAGAGGGAAATACCACAGACGACTCCCAGGTGTGCTGCCCTGGTGCAGAGAGCAAGCCTGCCTGGGTGAAAGCTCTCATCATTGGCCTTTGATTTTAAGATTCCTAATCAACTTGTGTTCCACTTCATGGGATGTGTTTGGCTTTTGTGGTGTGAGGTTGAGTTTCTTTAAATCCTCGCAGCACAGAAAACCAAAGAGGCTGTTTCTTAGCTAAACAGGGGAGAAATGATCAGCAGCAGATGGTGCTTCTGTAGAGCAATAAAGAAATCATCACAATTCAGGTTTCTCATGCTGCATTCACCCCGGGGCGTTTAGAATTAGTGACATTCTTCTTTGTGCTTATTTCCTAGTGATCCTCATATTTGGTGCTTATACAGCCTGTCTTCTGCTCTTGGAAGGGAGCTGCTTAGCAGCACTTCTAAGGGGCTTTTCATTCTGTTACCTCCTCAAAAAATGCCATATTTCCTCTTGAGAATCCTAGTGCTTAGCAGTCTGGCAACATGAACCAGGTTGCTATTTGGGCCCAAATTAGTCAGAAACACTGTAGCTGTCTCTGAAGTTAGATTCAGAGCTTCAGAATTCCTTAGGACAAAAAAGCCTCAGTGGAGACCCTTGGAGCCTGGCACACTGCAGGACCCAACGCAGGCTGGCTCCTTTTCCCCTGGCAGGGCAGCACAGTTCTGCAGTCTCTCCAGGTGAATCATATCTGCCATAGGGATTCAGTGTCATTCTCATTCTCTCTTTGTTAGGCTTTCTCTTTCCTTCCCCTCACCCCTGCTCCCTGCCTCTGATAACTTATTTTCATGCTGTGCTTCACCTTTACATGTCTTATCTATCCTTCATGTTTCCATAGCAACTCAGCCTCTCCCTGCATCCGAAAGCACAGAGCCACCAAGTGAGTAGATGGGAAGTGCTCCCCTTTGGTCCAGAGTGCTCTTTGTTATGCTGTAGCCTTCTGTCAAGGGAATTAAGGCATGAGGCTTTGTTGGTTTGATGTCTGTTAACCAAGAACCAGGCACTAATCTGTTATGTGAGCATGTAGCTGTTAAATGCAGCATGGTTCCACTCTGACTTCTCTCCTTACCGTTTTCCTGCCAAGCATGTGGTAAAAAATTGATAAGTGGGATTTAGAAGAAACGAGGGGAAAGAAAGAAAGGTGATCATTTCCAAAAGGAATGTTTTCCATTTGTGATTTTGAGAGGTAAAGCTGCCTTCACAAAAGGGGCATGGAATAGATAATCTGCTTGATATCCTGCCTCGGTGTGTTCACTGCGAATTTAGAGACAGGCATTCATGTTGTGGCTCTCAGTGCTGGATGCCGAAAGAAGATGCACATGATGAGTATCTCACAGCAGAGAGGACTGCAGGGAGGGGGAGCACTGCTCCTGTCTGGCCTGCATGAGAGTGTTTGAGACTTCACAAGAAGTCAGCATCTCAGCTGGGAGTGGGATTTGGATTCCCTCCATCCTAGCTCTGTGCCTTGTTGGTGAGATTCATTCTGATACTGAATCAGGTTCAGTTACTTCAATGCTGGATCTGAGCAGTCTGTGAGAATAAAACTTGGATCATGTAGTGAATTTGGGAGGCAGAAGAGCCATTGTGAAAAATCAGATTTAGGTTAGCTGTACAGAGTTCAGTGGTAGACCTTCCTGACACAGTGGAGATATAGAAATGGTGTAATTTTAATCACCAACCCCAGAAGTAGGGATTTCTCCTCTAAGGGTAAAGTTGCATGCCGTAGAGAAATCAAGCAATTATCTGCTGTGTAGTCCTGGAAGACAAAAAAAAGCAGTTCAGAAAGACACAGGTTTACACGGTGCATGTGTGTGTTCTCAACTAATCATTTCTACAAACTCCAGTTTTCTCTTTTGATTTGCAATAATAAAGTTATGTCTGTGAAGATGGCCTTAAAGTGAACTAGCCATTTGTTGACGTGTCGTGGGTTAAAAATGGCCCGTGGCCTCTAAATGGGAAATAATAAAAGCTTGAAGTGTGTGATTGCTTTTGTGTTTGGGGAGGGAGGAGAGTTAGTTTAGAGCTGCTGAAGGAAGCTTTGAAATAGGTAAAAGTGATGTGTATGATTGGCACACTGCATGCTCTTACATATAACAGGACTTACACTTCTAGCTGCTGGTGACCACAGTGAACACTCTTCTATTTCCATGGCGTCAATAAGGCAAACTTTAACTCCTGACACGTCTGAGGTGACAGCAGTTCTGCACTGCTGAAGAGAGCTTTTAATTCTAATCGGACTTCGGGGCTGGGTGGAGAGGGAGAGGCGAGCACGTAGCAAGGCTGTAATAACCTGTGGGATGCTTTAGGAGGCAGATGCTCCTTTTTGGCTGTCCATCTGTGGGGCTGGGAGGTAGCATTAACTGTGAGGGAAAATATTGTGTTGCTGTTTTGTAGGATGTGCTTTAGGAGGAGTGGATCCTTTCACCCACCAGCCTCTTTCTTATGAGGCAAAGGAACACTCATGAAGAAGGCAAGCTAGAAAGCAGACAGCAAATTAGGAAGGGAGGCAGTGCATGGACTTAGCAGTCTCCTCCATTCCACCAACTGGTTTTTTTCTTGTTTTTCTGTTCTATTCCTGTCATGCAGTCTTTGGGGTTTTTCATCTCAGTGAGCAGTGGCTGCCATCCTCGTGCTGTCTTAGTCAGCTTCCAGTGCACCACCTTTTGTTCCTCACTGGCAGAGAAAACCCTCGCACACCTGAGCTCACCAGTGGAAATCACTGCACATAACTCATCAGTATTCCTGAATATGTTGGATGGAGCTTCTGTGCCTGGGGTGGCAATTGTCAGTCTGACCAAATCCTGCTCGCAGCTCTTTGGGCAAAAGCCCTGTCCTTGGGAAGGCAATGCGTTGTAGATTTTCCTTTTTCAGTTGCTGTCGTTAATAAATAGGAAGACCTTTCTTTCTGCAGAGGGGAGAACACGTCAATGTGAAATGCCAAGTTTTGTCTCCACTGAACTGCGTGGGCTGTGATTTTGACCATTTCACCTCTGATGCCTGGACTGCTTCTGAATAACAATGTGTTCCCTTTTTCTTTCCAACAGTCTTGTGGATTCCTTCAGCTGTCCAAGTTCTGGGCCACAGTCCTTCTCTTGAATAACTTTTGTTCCTTCCCTGACTTGGTATTAATGAGCAGTGACACAGCTGTGCCTAACGTTCCCAGGGTCGTAACCCAGCGCTTTAATATTCCTATGTTTCCAGGCAATTTGACTGTTTCCCCACTGTTTCTGATATATACTGGCTAATTCAGTTCCTATTTTATTTGGTCTGTAATTCTGTTGTTGATTTTTTTCCCTTGCCCATTGTTTACATCAGTTTTTTAATTTTTTTTGTATTTTTCATGTGACCTCCTCCACTTTCCTTTCAACCAATCATGTCCGTGCCTATCATGTGCCTTTGTCATGTGGCTTGCATGGTGCTGATGATGTCGTCCTCGCTGGTGAACAGAAGGTAAAACACTTTGTTCTGATTGGTCGCCTAGATTTGGGGGGAGGATGCCCTCTGGTCAGTGACCAGGGTCCTCCAAATTCCATGGCTCCAAAATCGTTCTGCAGCCTTTTGGAGAAGTTGCTCACCGCTGTCTGCATGTGAAGAACTAAACTTTAGTCGTCTGCACTGAGCTTGAAGAAATTTCATAGGACAGAATTACTGAGGTTGGAAAAGACCTCTGAGATCACCCAGTCCAACCACCCACCTACCACCAGTACTGCCCGCTGACCGCAGCCCTCAGTGCCACATCCCCGTGGCTCTGGAGCACCTCCAGGGACGGTGACCCCACCACCCCTCTGAGCAGCCTGTCCACTGCCCCACCACTGCTGCACAACTTTTTCCTCACACCCAACCCGAACCTCCCCAACTTGAGGCAATCTGAGAGAGGAAAAAAAAAAAAGGCAGAACCCACACGGCTCAGTCATTTGCTTCTTTCCCTGTCAGAATTACAGTCAGCATCCAAGTAATGCTCAAAAACTGTCTGCCGTTATTACCAATGGCTAAAACCCTTCTGCATCTTATGGGAGCAGAGTGCCAACGGCATGCTACTGGGGTAGCTGTGAGTTAAAGTGTTCAGATGATGCAAATCACCTTATTTCTTGTTGAGCAATACTTTAACTCCATGCTATATGTCTGTGTACATACATTCATGCTGTCCATGTTCAGTAGCTCATCCAGACGATTAGACCTTCCTTATCTCTGAGATGTGCTTATTGCTAAGCATGTCACGTTATGATGTAAGAAATAAATCTGTCAAGCACAAAACCACAGCTAGTGCAGGAGATACACTTTTTTATAAGCTGTATGTACACATATAGGCACACCCAGAGTAGTGACAGGAGCTACACTTAGCAGTAAATACATGAGGTACTATTGCACTGTTCTTGCCAGAGCAGCTCACCCCTCCCACGCCATGTCTTGGAGCCAGGCAAAGGAATTAATCCAGGTCTGAACTCCTATAAATGGGGATTTCCGTGACTTCAAGAAGCAAATGATTGACCCTTGCAGCTCATGGAGATGAAATTAGTCTCTAAGACATGGTAGGAAAAATATTTTCTGTAACACTGTGTTTTTGAAAACTTCACTTAATACCACTCTGTGCACAGTCTGAAGAGAGGAGGGGAAGCCCTGCTGCTGCCCCAATTAATAAATCACTTTGCAATCCAGGGAGCAAATGGATTCGGGGTTTTTTCCCCTCAATCGATGAGTTTTGAAGTGCCTGATTGTCGTGGACCACCACCAGGCCAGGGTTTGAGCAGGGATTTGCCAGGAAAACAAAACTAACACCAGTAACCTTCCTGCCTGACTGCATGCACCGAAGCAGCCCCTCTTCCAGGTTTTCTTCCCTCTCTAGGCAAAATCCTGGAGGGCTGAAGACGTGGTTGTCTCGTTTTTGCATGTTATGTTTTTTGTTCCTTATTTCTTACTGTTGATACTCATTTCTCTTGTGTACATTCTGCAGACTTCTACCTGCTCTTTCTCCCCCGGCTGTATTTATTGTGGAGACTTCAATAGCTGTGATGTGTTTGTTAGCGTCAACTTGTGACACTGTAGATCACAATCTAATCCCATTTACACAGCAGTCAGAAATGCACAAATCAGCTTTTTGTTTGCGTATTGCAGAAATAACTGCAGACAGTTTGCAGCTGTGTTCTCTGAGCACAGCAAGGATGCAGAATTGTCCTTTGCTGCCAGCTGGACAAGGATTTAAGCTCCTAGTCTCCAGTGCTGCAGTTGTCTGGTAACCAAATTGACCTGCTTTTCAGTAGCTGGGCAGAAAGACCACATTTGGTGAGAGAAGAGAGGTGGTGAGAGGCTCAGTGTAAATGGGAAAACCCCCCCCAGGCATGTAGCACACCTTTATAAGCACTTTTGTTTTCAGCCCCTTCTCCTGTAGCGAGGATGCATGTCCTGTGAGCATGAGTTCCTCTCTAACCTTCAGCTGACAGCCTTTTCTCTTCAGCTACTGACACTGACTCGCTGTAGAGATGCTGACTCTGCTGGACTAAACTCCTCCCACTAAACTTCTTCCTCCTTTGTTTGAAACTACACACTAACCCGTTTTTAATTTTTCAGCCCTGTATCTGGATTATATCTTCTTGATTGAGGTCAATTAAATCCTGTGTATGTAAGGAGAATGTTCGTTACCAGGTTTCGCACCGCTGCAGCTGTTTGTTTCAGCAGTCAGGAATGCTCCATGTTCTCCTTTTAGAAGGGATTTTCTTGAAGCAGAGGCACACTTAAGCCATGGGGAAAAGAAGGAATCAGGAGCTAGAAACCATGCAGCTCACAGCGAAGAAATTTCAGCAGTGAAAGCAATTCATGCTTGGAATGGCTGCATGTAAAGTGCAGCAGGACCTCAAAGTTTGAAAATCTTTGTATCAGGAATGAGCATCTTTATAAAGGATGTTCGTTCCCAGTTTAGTCTTGGTACTCAATCACTGGAAAAAAATTCTAGTCCTGTTAGATAAGAGGTCACATTATTTAAGTACAGTATTCCCTTATCACTTCAACATCTGTTTACCTATTAATAATTTTCTCTCTGAGATAAAAATGGGAAAGAGCACGAAGGAGATGTTGATCTTACACTGTCTTGTTATCAGCGAAGTCGTTTATCAAGTCTGTCAAAGTAAGGCAGAAGCCAAGCACTGCTGCTCATGAATGTTTCAGCACATGCAGCTCGGTGCCTGGCAGAATAATGGCCTGTGCTGCTGGGATTTGGTTCCTTGCATGAGGAAAACGTTGAGCAGGACATTTGTTCCTGCTTCCATTTAGCTGTTGGGTGTTATTCCAGTAACAGCTTCTCCAACACAGAATTCAAAATCAGTAACCTTGGCAGTGATCTCTTCTTTTAGGATTGGGGGAAGGAAGATGATCTTGGGGAATTTCTGTAATCTGGTATTTTCAGCATGCCTGAGTGAGGTGCCTCTGTTCATCCAGACCTCACCTGTTCACATTTGATTTCCAGTCTGTGATGCACTCCGTGCTTTCACCATTCATAATTCCAGGAGAAGCATGGTTTGGGAAGAGATTCTCAGATATGCAGCCTCAGTAAGCTCACAGAAGGACAGATCCCCAGCTTTGTACAGTAGGTGGCAGATGAGGTCATTGCTTACTGATGAAAAAGGAGCATTCCATCCTTATGGCTTTAAGAAAAGTAACTACTTTGTGAAACACCAGTGAGTGTCTCTAACATCCAAGAACTGTGCATCCATGGGTTGTAAATGCCTTCTTGGAACAGCTGGTGCTGGAGCATGTGTCAGCCTGTAAGGAGATGGAATTAATCTTAAACTACTGCTTCAGTCTCAGTTTTGCATTTTTCTTACAGATGTTTCACCAAACAAACAAACAAACAAACAAACCCAACTCTACTTGATTTCTTTCTTTAGAGGATTTCTTCAAGTTACTTCTGAGGATCAGCTTTGAAAGATATTGGAAGATTAACCTTTTTCTGGCCAGTTCAATGCTGCACGTGCTTTCCATCAGCAGCTGAATGCATATCCAGGCAGAATAGATTTAGAACTGGGGATGTTTGTTGTGCAGAAAGAAGCCATAGCCAGTGTTACTGGCCAGTGTTGATCTCAGTGCAAGTACTGCCTTACTGTGTCCTTTCCCTTTTAGTACAACAGCAGAACTGGGTTTGAGAAGCCTTGTCCCAAGCAATGGGCTGAGCTTTAACATCACAGTGTGATTTTGGTGGCCTGGTTGTGATCAGGCTCTGAAGCTGCAGGTGTCACAGTTTCAGAGTTTGGGTGTTGTTCTCTTGGGGATCTGTCTAGAGTCGATCCATCCCTTAATTGTGTGTTGCACTGCTCTCCAAGGGTCTGTCAGCATGTGCTTAAGAGAGACATTGTCCAAATCACAAGTGGCTCTGCAAGTAAAGACAGAGGTGCTCTGCCAGAGCCATAAGACAGTCGCCTTGAGTTAGGATGGTAAAGCGTGTGCTTGTCATTCACAGGCCTCTACAGAGGTTTGTGTTCTCAGTATTTGATTTTCCTGTGGCCAGCTGTAAAACACACTCAGATAAACAAATAGAAATGCTTTTAAAGTGCCTGAAGTCTGATTGGCAAAATAGAGGTGCGGGAGGTTTGTTGGGTTGGGATTTTTTTTTTGCTTTTTAACATTCAGCCACCTTAATTGATATATAAAATACTGTAAGCATTATGAGCCTGTAATGAGAACAACCAACAGAGTGCAATTAATCTTAGGAGTTGGTTGGAAGTGCCAACTGCAGGTGATTTGAAAGCTTTAATTTACAAACAATTGCAGTGTTGGTTTTGCTCAAATTACGTGTAAAGACGTGAAGCAGATCAGCCTTCAGAGAATAACAGCTGAAATGCTCAGAAGTTCCTGAAGAGCTTTTAAGCCCAGAGCTCATGGCTGAAGCAGTGGGACTGCAAAACAACCTGGCAAGCTTCAGCAAGATTTTTGATTGCATTTGAGTTCTTGCTATGTTTCAGTGCTTTTGAAATATCTCCAAGTCCAATCTCAAGTTGGATCCATGTAGGGAACCCGTGCCTTCATCTTGCATGGAATGGAGCAAAGCAGGCATCGAGGAGCTGAACTTAAGCAGGATCTGAGCTCCTGGAGTCTGTGCCATTTCTTAAAAGAGAGACCAGCCCTTCTTTCTCATCTCAGTTCTTTTGCTAATTTGATGCATATGTTGTAGTGGTTGTTTGTTGGGTTTCCTTTTCCACAGAAGCAAATAAATAGGTGGACATGTCTGTTTCACAGTGAGTTCCCAGGCTAAGAAGAAGAAGAAAATATGTCTGTTGAATAGTCAGCTGCATTATTTGTGAAAAGGCGATGTTGTGAACATACAATGAAAGTGTGGGTTTGATTTCTGTTAGGAGAGGTGACAGAGAGAAGTTGCAGTGTGAGGGGGGAACCATCCTGCAGGCTGTGTGTGAAGGTTATGGGGGAGCTGGTGAGGAAAGGGCAGTTGGAGGCATGGTTTGAAAAGGACGTGGATGAAAATCAGCGCGCCCTGAAGAGAATGAAACTTCAATTTCCTGCTGATGTCAGAGGTGCAAATTCAGAAAGGATGGCTTTTTCTTTTGAAGGTGGTTGTTACAGAATGATGAAATGGGTCACATTCTTTCCAGCCTGTATTTGTTGCCATTTTCTAAACCAGTGAAAACAAGTGTTGTTGCCCTTGTATCATTTTTTCATATCCATTCAAGTGACCACAGCAGTGAGGTCACTGTGGTCCAGGGGCTGTAAAACTTAAACAGCATGCAAAGTGCAAACAAGGTCAATGTGACAAGGATGTCGGTTCTCAGTAATGCTTCTTATATCCATGTTGTAGAGGAGAATCCTGCCTGTTTGCTATATGCTCTAACTCAGCATTTTCCAGATGACTCAGACAGGCATTTTGGAACAGAAACAGTGAAGAACTGGGTTTTGCTCCAGGGTGTTCTCATGGAATGATGGTGTCTTTTTCACTTAACTTCAGACTCCATTCAGCATATGCAAAAATGATAAATTACATCAGTGGAAGCAAACTACCAAATGCAAGCAGAATTGGGTCTTGCAGGTGTGTCTGAGTAAGGCCAGTACGATGTAGTGAAGTATTTTTCTGGCTTTGAGTACCTTTTTCCTAACAATTTCTTTTTTACAATTAAGTATAAATCCACCATTGTTTCAGGGGAACCCAGTGCACCCAAACTGGAAGGGCAGATGGGAGAAGACGGAAACTCCATCAAAGTGAATGTTATCAAGCAGGATGACGGTGGCTCCCCAATCAGGCATTACCTGATCAAATACAAAGCTGTAAGTATGACCGATGCCTAAACCTTATCTGCCTGTAGCCTCTTCAGAACTCATGCACCACTATGCAAGCAGCTACCTTAGCAGATTGAAGCTGAGATCTTGTGGGTGCCCCATCCCTGCAGGCACTCAAGGCCAGGTGGGCTGGGGCCCTGGGCAGCCTGAGCTGGTGGGGGGCAGCCCTGCCCATGGCAGAGGGGATGGAATTGGGTGGTCTTCAAGGTCCCCTCCAACCCGAGCAGTTCTGTGGTCTTGCAGGTAGATCTGTACAGAATATCAAGAGGGTAATATAATGTCAAAACCAAAACCAAATTCAAGCAGAGATTGAACAGCTTGTTAGCCTACCCCACTCTGCCTTTGTCTCAAGGTACCTTGGAAGTAGGTTTTTTAAATTAGCATAGGCAGAATGAACATCTGCATTTCCTGAAACTGGATCAGGAATCATGAAGCTGCTGGTTGCATGCCCTGTTGAAAGTCTTTCTTAAACACTGCCGAGTGGAACAGTCCTGATAAGCTAGGCCAGATGCAAGGTCAGAGGTGGGTCTGTCTTGCAGAAGATCCAACTTCACACTCTAAGGGCTATAAGAACGTTCTTTATGTAGAACCCTCCCTGCGTTTCCCTTTGTTAGTTAGCCGTTACCCTGCTCTCAGAGCTGACCACTAACGTTGTGCTGTTTGTTTTGCATCCCCACCTGCCACATCGTTGTCCTGCAGAAACATTCCTCAGAATGGAAGCCAGAGATCAGACTGCCTTCTGGCAGTGACCATGTAATGCTCAAGTCTCTGGATTGGAATGCAGAGTATGAGGTTTATGTGATAGCTGAAAACCAGCAAGGGAAGTCCAAACCTGCTCACTATGCTTTCCGGACATCTGCTCAGCCTACTGTCATCCCAGGTATGGCAATCATAAGCTTTACCATTGTTTTCTGCTTCCAATTAATGCAACAGTGCTGCATCCTTTAATGTGCCTGAGTAACCCTGACAACTTGCTTGCTTAAAAGCCATTATCATAATTGGTTACCCATCTAAAGCTTGATTTTTGCCACGTACATACCTGCAGTGTAGCACACATTAAGGTATGTACAGCATTAGCAGTACACTGGTAGGAATGCAACATGGCAGAGCTGTCTGACTGCACGCAGGGAATGGTGGCTTTAGCATCAGGGTAACAGCATTGCCAGATGTGAAAAGCAGTGGACAGAAAAGGCTTTCTGAAAGCAGAAAGATTCACAACTTAAACTAAAGCAAAGGGGACCACTTATGTCTCTGGTGCAATGCTTTTCACAATTCAGATTTCCCCTCCAAACCCGCTTTGTGCTTGCTTACTGCCCATTTGTCCATCCAGTTCAGCCTTTGGAGGAAAAAGACACAAGGAGTTTGCTAGCAGTCATAAAGGGAGAAAGGGAAAATCTTTCTCCAAAGAGTTTTCGTTAAATAAAACGGAGATTAAAAACAAACGTAATTTTAAAGTAGCATTGTTTTCGTGTCATGGCAGGGAGTTAGAGAATGGTAACCAAAGTGCATCAGAATGCTGCTGGAGACTTGTTTCGGACAGACTTCTCTCCTCAAAAAGTGAGGTAAAAGCATAAATGCTATGAGAAACAAGCAGGCCCTATGAGGTGCCAGCAATCCTACAGTTTGCTGGCAGGCATTAGAAAGACAGACAGTGTTTATTGCTATGCAGGTGTCGTCTTGAACCATTTAATACCAAACCCCAAACCTGAGGGTTGGAATTGCTGGACCAGCTGTAAATTCAAGCTCAGACTGGCTGGAGGCAGATGGGCACACTGCAGGTCAGGTCCTCACTGCACAGCCCGACTGAAGCAGCTCCATGCCCAGTGTGCTGACAGTCCGTGCTGCAGGGAGTGATTAGGTTGTGTTCTGTCCTCTAAGTTCTTAGGTCAGTCTTGTGCTTTTGTTCAGTTACCTGTTTTCATCAGTCCTCTCTTCGCATTGAGAATTTAATCCTTAATTTGCCATACCCCTGTCCTGTCTGAAGCAAACAACTGAGAGCTGGTGCAGTTTGTATGCTGAACCTCCACTCACTCAAGCCAGGTAGCATTGTTGAGCGTCCAAATGAGTGACCTGGATGGCTGGGGCTTGAAGATGTGTACAGCAGCAAGCATGAGGATGGGGAGGGGGAGAGAATGGGGCAAAAGAAAGACTGGGAAGTGTGTTTGAACAGGGCTGCAGTTTGCGTTGGAGCGACACTCCGTAACTCATTAAGCAACTTACCATCTTTCTCATTTTCAGCAGCACTACTACTACTTACTATTCTCATATATTTGAAGGACAACTGTGGCTAAATGAGGCAGGGGAAGGTGGGGGTAATTTGGCAAAGAATGCCTTAACTACAGGCTAGAACAGTAGAGCACAGAGAGTAAGCAGCAGACAGAGCGTTCCTTTACTGTTGTGCATCTCCTCAGGAAAAAGTTCCAAGGACTGATTTGCAGTTTTTTCTTTCCACACTGCAGAGCTCCTCTCTGTGCTGGTACTCTCTCAGCCTTTGTTGCACACTTGTAGAGTACCAAGGGGTACCTGGGACAGCTGGGATGTCTTGCCTAGGGTGTTAGCAATCTCTGGGAACTCTGTTTCCTTTGGAATACACAGTTCATGCTGTAGTCCATGGCAGAGGGAAGAGCAATAATCTCAGTTTCCACCGAGCCCTTTAAATGCCACAGAAACGTGGGAAAAGACTCCTTAAAAGAACAGAATTTTTTTAAATGTCCGCTTTGTTTTCATGGGTGCAGTTTCCTCTCAGGAGTTACTCCTCATTTATCTGATGTAAAGCATGGGAGAGGTCAGGATCTCAGCTTGCTCCTTCCAGTGTTGCACTTGGAAATGTTGGAAGCACTTTGAAAAATGGTTGTTTTCACTCTGCAAGCTTGCGCATGATTGACAGAGCAAATGAATGCAGATGTTTCTTGGGAAGAACTTGTCTTGGTTCAGGAACAAGTAGGGCATGGTGCAAGGAAGTGGCTGCTGCTGCTCGTGCTGCATTGATGACTTGTTTCTCTAGCTTGCTTCATTTTGTTCAGACCTTTGGCTTTTATTAGGCCTTTTGAGGTTCTTCCAGATGCTTTGGTTCCCTGAGCTCTCTCCAAACTAACAGTGTTCAACAGAGTACTTCCAGAGGGCAGCCTAGATTTCTCTGACATGCAGTCACAGGGCTCTGTTGACATGAAGGCTGCTACACCAGATTGCAGTGGCGAAGAGGCTCCGTGCATTACTTTGCTTTGTCACCTCTGTAGAGTTTTCACAGTGTCCTGGAAGGGTGAGAGAATTAACAAAAATTAATTGCATCAGGTCAGTTCACAGGCAGCTGGAAGGCTGAAAGGAAGGACCAGCCGTGCTCCCAGGCCTCCCATCTGCAGAGGTTTTACTCACCCAGATCTGTCATGTGAGCCCCGGTGCAGGATGGGGCAGGCAGGCGGATCGTCTGCTGCTGTTTTCTTTCTCTTTGGAAAAGGCAGTGTTGTCCTTTCAAATATCAGACAGGCTTCTTCTTGTGCTGATCGCTGAGCCCTCTGTTCCATCATTTTGAATCCCATTTGCTTGCTAACCTCGTAACCCCTGCCTTGAACTCTGCTCTGCAGCTTTGGACTTTGCTGAGCTTCTGGACCTGGCCCTTTTGTCGCTGTGAATGTGCTGTGCTTCTTTCTAACCTTTAGCCATTTTAGTTTACTTAATTAAATAAACCTTTGATTCTTATGTTTTCTATATTTATGACCTAATTTTTTTTTATCTATTTTTTCTCTGTCTCTCTTTTTTCTTTCTTTCTTCCTCGTCCTTTCTTCCCTCCCCTTTTCCCCTTATTCCTTTCCTATGTCTGTCGTCATACATGTCACCTTGGATCTCACGGGAAACATCCACGCTTGCCACATGCACCAAATTTGCTTTTTAAACAACCATATTTTCCCCTCCTGGGAACCATTGTCTGGCACCTGCAGCGACCTTGGGAAGTCCATCAACGTCGTCCTCCTTTGTTTCATTGCTTCTTTCTGCAGTGACTCTGCTTTTGCTCTGTTAGAAACTTAAAATAAAGCAATATTTGCTTGAAGAGGCCTGGGTCCTGCCGAGGTGTTGAAAGCTGATAACTTTGGTTCAGAGGATCCCATCAGTTCAGGAGGGGGGGAAGAAAAAAATTGTGTCATTTGAAAGAGTTCATATTTTGTAACAAGGAAGAAGGGTTTAAACCGAGTGTTTTATCTTTAACAACTTTTGTTACTTGTAATGAATTTGCCCTTTTTAATGAATGTAAAGGAAGAATTTTTTGCTTGCTCGCTTGTTTCATCGTAGGAGAGTACAGTATTGAAAGCCTTTTAAAAAAGTCCCCCATGCACACATGCACATAAAAGCCCCAACCGGATCTTTGTTGATTTGCTGATACATCTGGTGCTGATCACCAGTGTGTTGAGCACAGAGCTTCTGAAGCCCTGCCCGTAAATGTCAGCCAGGAGAGTAAAAGCAGGGAAGCAAAATTGCCAGAGAGAATCCTACTGAGCGCCCGTATTCCTCTGTGTGCTTTGCAAGTGGGCTCAAATGTACGGCGCTCAGGTTGTGCTGGTGTGGTGACGTGAATACAAACATCTGTGGGAATTGCACTGAAGGCGTTTCTTTCTCTTTCCTTTCACTGCTTGATCCCTTGGGACTTCATTGGCCCCTGTGTGCAGTCAGCCATCCCATGGCCCATAGTGGATCTGAGGCATCGTCCTGCCCAAGAACATTCAGATTTGCAATGGATGCTTGTCTAACGTTGCTTGGTTCTCTACTACTGTCCTGTCAACTTCATAGAGAGATCTCTTCTCTTGCCATTTAACAGAGAAAATTAGCTTGAATCAAATGACCTGACGATCTACATGGTTATTACTACTGATCTTTAATCATACTCGTGGTTAACTGTGCATGTGACACTGTCAGACAGGATTAATCCTTGGTGTAAATATAATGCAGCTTTGTTACTGAGCTCTGTGTATTGCGTTTCGTTGAACAAATTGCAGGTGATTTTCTTTTTTTTATTTCCTTTTTTTTTTCCTCCTCAAAAAGAAAAGAAAACAAAATCCTGTGCACCTCATGAATTGTCTTTTGTGATGGGAAATCCATTTGGTTCTGTTGCTCTTCTAAAAATGGGTGTCCATCTCCTCTCTTTCTCTGTAAGTGGGCCTGGGGTGGAAAAGAATGGAATTGTTGGTGCAGTTACTGAGCTCTCTGTACAGAATGTCTCAAAAACTATCTGTTGTGCAGAATGAGCTTCATCTTTCTACCCAGGTGCTAACAAGGACAAAGAACAAGCCCTGCCATCATCAGTCTTGTTTATCTGTGCATTTGATGCTCTGCACATAAGACTCTGCTGTGTTTATTCAGACCTTGTTCATGATCATTTGTGAACTTCTTTTCTGTCTAAATTATAAATGAAAACTTTGTACGAGCACTGCACTCCAACCATGCGGATATTTTTTAACCAAACAGAACAGACAGAGCCATGCTCTCACCTCCAGTGTTCTGGAACATAGCAAATTGGTTTGGCTTCCTGCATTGACACTTTAGTATAATGGAAGTAGTCGTAACCCTAAAAAGCTGTGTGAACTTCCCATAGCTTGGGAAGTTATTAAACTCATCCATAGATCTACTATCAGTTTGTATTTCCCTTATCTGTAGGCACAGGTTGAGGCATAGGTGAGGTTGAGCACCCAGCTTTGGAGTATTAAAACCAACGTGCTGAAGCTATTACTGGTCATAACTGGTGGATGAAGAGAGAGCAGCCCTTCTGGGAGCCATTCTTCCTCCATGGTACTGGGGATGCATTACCTTCCCACGGGCTGCTGCCTGCAGAGACTAAGCAAAGCCCATGTCAGTTACATGGTGAAAGCTGTATTAAATGGTCCAGTCAACATGGAATATATACAAAAAGAAGTCCTGTCCCTGTGTTTGAAAAAATATGGAGCATAAGTGATATTTTCACTGCCTGTTTACTTGGGTTTGTAACATGTTAGATTTCAGATACACGCATTAGATCCTTGATCTCTGACAGACAAGATCCCAGGCCTTATTCCTGATGTCAATAACATTTCAAAAAGCTTGCAGAAAAGCTAGCACTCTTTTTTTTGTACTCAGAGGTGAGACAGATTCAGAGCTGGAACCTGAAGGGGCTCAAATACTCAGATTTTCAGCACGCAGACAGCTTCACAAGTACATGTTCTGTGGGATGTCACAACTCCAGGAAGGCTGGGATCTGAGTCCTCTAGAAGAGATGATTCCATGTGCGATGAACTGCAGAGCTGTGCAGGATCTCCCCTGGCCCCCAGGATGCCAGCAGCTCTATTCTTAGTTTGTCAGTTAGTTTCTACATTCTTGGGGAGATATCTGATGATATCCTTTGGCTGCAGGTCAAATGGGAGAGACCTTGTTTGATCGGAGGGAATGGCCTCAGGTTGTGCCAAGGGAGGTTCAGGTTGGATGTTAGGAACAACTCTTCCAGAAGTCACTGGTCATTGGCACAGCTGCCCAGGGTCACCATCCCTGGAGAGCCATGGAGATGTGACAGTGATGGGCGATGCTGATCGTAGGTGGGCAGTCAGAGTGGATGACCTTAGGGGTCTTTTCCACTCTTAATGATTCTTTGATGATTTTCTCATAAAAAAAAATCAGTTGCAGTTGTTCACACCTAATTTCTTTTAGATAAAAACAAATTTTTGAAGCTTTCCTGACTGTTGCAGCTAGCAGAGTGCAGGGAGCAGCCAGGTGGCACGGGAGGGTGCACTGCAGTAGTGCAGAGGAAGGACATGCTGTGGCAGGGGTCAGACTGCAGATCAGACTGTTTTATTCCTGAAGGCAGGATCTTCATATGACTTCCTCTGTGCTTGCAGTTCTTCCTTTTGTATGCTCATTACCCTCGTGTTCATCCTTGCAAAGGGAGGCAGTCGTAGGGAAATACAGAACTTGGTGCTGGGAGCCCACTGCTGGAGGAGCCAACGTGTTGGTGACAGTCTGAAGAGTTCAGCTGTGTTTCTGGAAAGTATCTCTTGCCTTCTTGATGTGGAAGGAGTGCTTTCAACAGACCGCTGGGCATTTCTGCTTCATGGTAGTTAAGGTTAAAGCAAACATAAGCTGTTGGACCTAATTCCATGTGGAAACAGACACTGCTGTCACATGGAATAGATGGTTACTTGCGGTCTGCATTTCTCCCCTTACGTTGTGCATGGTGTTTGACAATGCTAATATAAGTTGTGCAGGTGCTTGCCAATGGCTGTCAGAGCGCTAAAACTGCTTCCAAACATCAGCCATAGGTACACACAGACACAGGAGAACCTGCTGCTGTTATCTGAAGTGGAATGGCACGTGTTGTTTGGAACACCACCCATCCGTTCCTTCCATTCCTTGCTTTCTGTTACTAATCCTAAGTAGAGAAAGGTGAATGTTCAGACAGGCTTTTTCTGCAGCAGCACTAAATAACCTCAATATCATTCCTCCTTAGAAAGTAAAGCAGATATGTTCAGTCAGATGGGTGGAGGAAGATACGACATTTCGCTTTCATGTGGGGATTTCTGTTACAATTTCATACCTTATTTCTGGCCTGAAATCATCCACCTCCTGTTTCCAGCTTTTGGAATTTATTGTATCTTTGCTCAAATAAAGTGCCTTTATTGTCTGTACTGTTCTGCTGCATGTAGGTATTTATAGGGCTGCATTGACCTAATCCATCCCTGCACATTTATTTGGTTGCGTTACATTGACTGCGTTTCCCAAGTCAGTTTTTTTTGTTGTTTCAATTCTTCAGACTGGGTTGTGGTGTTTCCCTGTTTAGCCTTCTTCCTCAGCACTGTTCTGAGCAGCAGCTCTGTGTGGTGCTTTCCCACGGGGCCCTCCAGCAGCTGCCAAGGAGCTCATTCCCAGGGAGATGCTGTAGATGAGAGAAGTTTAACACAGCCTTACATTTTCCTCCAGGAGCTGCTGTGATCAGAACTGTGTTAACTATTGCATCATCCATGCAAGAATCCTGAGTACATTAGGAGACAGAAAATACATATCCTCCTCCCTCCCTGCATACACAGGAGGCTGATGAATTCATTTAATTACACAGCTTGATGCGAGGTGCTGGCAGGGGCTGTGGCACAGTCTTTCTGCCAAGCACTCACTGGACTTGTGCTCCAAGTGTCAGAGCTGGGCACCTCAGAGTGACTTTCAGATAAAGTAAAATGCAGGAAAAAGCCCCAAACTCTTTCCTGTTGGAGTCCCAAGTTCCTCAGTATCTTGTCTCAAAATGAAACGTTTACCTCCCTCATGCTAAGGATGTTCTGTCTCCTGTTTTTAAGTAATAAAAGAATGGCAGAGACCATTCCCAGAGCTCTGGAATTAATCTTTTCACATGCTACAGTCAGCATGGATCAGCCTCAGGGACCAAAGGCTGCTTTACAGGGCTTCCCAGCAAAGAGATTCCAAGTGTTTGGGGGCTGTGACATCCGATGGTAAAAACATTGGAAGTAGAAATTGCATCTAAGTGAAAGAGCAATGCAGGGCTCCTAAGGACTACAAGAAATGTGCTCATCCTTCTCAGCTGTCTCAGTAAACTTGAGTGACAAGCTGTACCAAATGCACAGACCTTGCTGAGCACGCAGGCTGAGAAACAGAGCGTGGGATGGCTGAGATCTGCTGGTCTGAGCGGCGCAGGACCTCTGATGGATGCTGAACTCTGCATGAGCTCAGCAGAATGCTCTCTCTGCAGAGCAGCAGCTTGGGAAGAGCTATTCTGAATCAAACAAGGGGAACCAAAAGTGGGTTCTGTTTAGGGCATGGCAGCAGGAGGCTGAGAAGCCACAGCTGATAGCTTTGAAGAAGAGTTTCCTTTACCAGGGAATCAGTTCTTGCTCGAATTACACAGACTTAGTCCTGTCAGCCCAGTACACTCCAGCCCCTGTCAGCCTTCCTGCAAATAAAATGGAGAGTTTTAGGTGATAGCAGAGGAATTACTAAGCAGCTCAGCCCAAACAGTCCGTTCTTTAGTACGGGTCAGCGAGGATGTCAGTGTACAACAGGCAGTGTTAGTGCTGCTTGGTTTGCAGAGCACCTGCCCTGACCGTGCCTCGCGTCCGGCCCCGAGGGCTCACTCACGCTGCCCAGCTGCACTGCCTTGGCTGTCGTAAATTTGGAGGCCGATCTTACTTATGCAAGTACCTTTGTATTCACATTTTGAAATCAACAGAGATTGTAAGTTTCAGAGAGCAGCACGAATTTGGGTCAAATTCTGTACTGCGGTGCATGTGAACATACATTTCTTGCCTGTGGATTTTATCGCTCACTGCCTGGCTGCTGCCTTAAAATCACTGTGGGTTTCGTTAGTACAACTCCTGCTGCCATGTACACCGTGTTTGGGAAGACACCATGGAAGAAGTTAGCAGATCTTCCCAGCCTGTGCTGGTCGGAGGAAGGTTGGAGGATCTTGGCAAGTCTGGTTCCTCCAGCAATTGCATTCGCTTCCTGGAGCGAGTCCCGGCTTTGCTGCATGCCTCACTCGCATCCCCAGATCCTGGGAGACGCTGATCTGTCCCTGCCAGAGGCCACTCTTCATCTCTTTCATGCTGCTGAAAGTTGATGGCAAAGCTCGTGAGTCTCGCTGTTCTCAAAAGGGCTGGCTTGGGAGCGGCTTTGTGAGACCCCTGTAAGAGCAAAGCTTGTCAGCTTCTCCGAGTGGGCTCATTTGCGCCCTACAAGGGCTAATCAACATTCAGGCCCCTCTGGTGTTTCCCAGCATTCAGTGTCCCACCAGGGAACGTTGTGCTGCAGAGCTTCACTTCCAGCCGTGATGCTTGTCCTTGTTCTAGGCTGGCAGCATCAGAGTCACTGTGTGCCCGTTGGGGCGGTGGTGAAAGAGAACAGGAACCATTCAGAGTTCCAGCTGGGTATACATTACAGTGGAAGAGTTTTCCATGGTCTGCTTTCCCTGTCCTTAGGCCAATAGAGACTGGAAAGGCCCTGTCAGGTCCCAGCAAACCTGCGTGGGTTGTCCTGCACGTCTATAGGACAAAGTACTGATTATTACACATGGCTGCTGGAGAAAAAGTGCATGTTTTGTGAGTTTCCCATGCTTGCAACCTATAGCCAAGTCTGAGCCATAGGTATCCCTGGCTCACCTTCTAACTACAATGCTTTCTTTTCTTCTCCTTTGGTCTCTAAAGCCAGCACTAGCCCTACGTCAGGCCTGGGGACTGCTGCCATCGTAGGCATTCTCATTGTTATCTTTGTGCTGCTCCTGGTGGCTGTGGATGTCACCTGCTACTTCCTGAACAAATGTGGCCTGCTGATGTGCATTGCTGTCAACTTATGTGGCAAGTCTGGACCAGGAGCCAAGGGCAAAGACATGGAGGAGGGCAAAGCTGCCTTCTCGTGAGTACCATCATCACTCCTTTTACTCATTCTGTTGGGGGTGACAAAAAGGAATCTGCTGTCCAGGGCAGCTTATTTCCCACAGTCACCATCAGTATTTGAAGCGTGTCTTTGCAGGACAGTCTTTGCAGTTACTGTGTACTGTAACCAATCTCTATGTAATCTCCACGATTCTAATTAATTCCCTTGTTACAGGAAAGATGAGTCCAAGGAGCCTATTGTGGAGGTGCGGACTGAAGAGGAGCGGACCCCCAACCACGATGGGGGAAAACACACAGAGCCCAACGAGACCACACCACTGACAGAACCAGAGTATGTTGCTATTCATCAGTCCTAGTGCAGAGTCAGTACAGAACCCTCATTTGCTTTAATTGCTGATCACTCATGCACATGCCACAGGGCAGGAAGAGAGGAAGAAAGCAAAGATCTTCACATTCGGTTTCTGACATAGCCGTGAGAAAATGCTTCCTCTCTTCCCTGCCTGACTCCCACCTGCTTTGATGGAGTTTGCAGTGGAGCCCACTGGTAAAATGGCTCTGCTGGAAGTCGCTTTGAGGTGAGAAGAGGAAGGAAGGCTGTACCACAAGCACATTGAAATGCAGAAGCAAAGCACAGCAGAGTAGCTAAGATCTGTATGCTTGTGATTTTCTTGCCTTGTCTTACTGGAGTTTTATTTTGGTTACCTTCCTTTACAAAGATTTTCTCTTAGTTCATAAGGCTGAGGTGGTGTTCTCAGGCACGCTGGCTTCTATTGGAGTAAATCAATTGTTGTTTCCAACCTCTCATCCGTGTACTTAAGCAATCAGTGCTATATTGTGGCAGCAAAAGCATAATTACACTGTCAGGCATTGTCCTAAAGCAGCCCCTATTCCTGCTAGAACAATAGGCAGAGGTTAATCTAGTCAGAAGGGTGGAAACTGTCGCTTCTAAGCTGCATGAATGTAGATATATTATGTGTGTGTATGTGAGGACAGGAATTAAATTACGTGTGGTTTGATGGAGGCCTTAGACTTGTTGGCAAAAGCATAGGGCCAAGACAGGAGACTGAATTCAGGAGTCCTGCACCGGGATGTTGTTGCATGGTTACAGATGGCACAAGGCTGCAACCTCTGGGAATTGGTAGAAAGCTTCCTTGTAAAGCTAGATTTAAGAGGATGAGAAGGAAGTTAGCCTGAAAGAGAAGACTCTGCAAGTCAACAGGGTTACATTTGACCAAGACTTGAAGCATAATCTGTCTGAGCAAGCCACTCCTGAAGGTTGTGTCCTCTCTGCTCTTCCTTCTCTTCCTAATTGTCCTTCAGTCACCCTGCCAGCCCTTGCTGCCCTTTGTGTATTTCATCTCTGAAAGCTTTCTTCTTCTCTGCCTCCACGCTGTGTTTGTGTTGTAACACCACCATGCTGCTGCTGCTGTTTCACCCACTTGCCTTCTCATGCTTACGCTTTGCTTCCCTTTCCCCATGCTGTCGTTTATGGGCTTCATTGTCTCTATTTCTCTTCTACTCCTGCCCTCTTCACAGGCACACCACCGATACCGCAGCTACTGTTGAGGACATGCTGCCTTCTGTAACTACGGGCACCACTAACTCTGACACTATCACTGAAACTTTTGCCACTGCTCAGAACAGCCCCACCAGTGAGACCACCACCCTGACCTCCAGTATTGCCCCACCAGCCACGGCCATTCCTGACTCAAACGCCATGTCGCCTGGCCAGGCTACTCCAGCCAAAGCGGGAGCTGCCCCGGTCTCTCCGCCACCACCCTCTTCTACGCCCAAAGTGGCTCCCCTTGTTGATCTCAGCGATACCCCAAGCTCTGCTCCAGCTACTAACAATTTGTCTTCAAGTGTCCTGTCCAACCAAGGTGCGGTGCTGAGCCCCAGCACTGTTGCTAACGTGGCCGAGACCTCCAAAGCAGCAGCTGGTAACAAGTCAGCTGCCCCAACCCCTGCAAACCTCACTAGCCCTCCAGCTCCATCAGAGCCCAAGCAGGAGGTCTCAAGCACCAAGAGCCCCGAGAAAGAAGCTGCGCAGCCCAGTACAGTGAAGAGCCCAACAGAGACAGCCAAGAACCCGAGCAACCCGAAGAGCGAGGCTGCTTCAGGCGGCACCACAAACCCCTCCCAGAATGAGGACTTTAAAATGGACGAAGGGACCTTCAAGACACCAGACATTGATCTTGCAAAGGATGTTTTTGCAGCTCTTGGCACTACTACTCCTGCCACTGTGGCTAGCGGGCAAGCTCGTGAGCTTGCTTCTTCCACTGCAGAC